GCACACGCTTGATTTGATGGTGGACCGGATCACCGCTCTGGAAGTGCCATGGTCGGACCACCTTACCCTGAGGGCCCTTCTGAATGTTTCATCCCGACCCAGTTTGGGTGGTGAGCGTATTTTAGCTCACCCACGGAGTCAAATGGACCCTATGTGGCTTCAGATAGCTCTCCGGGATCCAATGCCCCCAGGCACCTTGTTAGATGAGCTTGTGGAGGATTGGCACAGCCAACTCTCGACAGCCATTGACGAGATTGCGCCCTGACACCCTCTGTGCCCCCGCACTAAGGTCGCATCTTTGTATATGCAGGAGTTGTGGCTGATGAAGTGAGGGATAAGACAGCTAGAGAGACAGTGGCAGCATGCCCATGATGAGGCTACAAGGACATCCTCTAGGACATTTATGAGATCCTATGAGATGGCAGTCAAAGCTGCAAAGAGAGAGTACTACGTGGCCATGATTGCATCTGCGAGCTCACGTCCAGCCCAATTGTTTAGAACGATTTGGTCGATTACTGCTCTGCCACAAGGCAGACCAAATTCTAGGGAATTGAACATTGGTTGTGAGGCTTTTGTGATCTATTTTGCACATAAAGTCCTGTCGCTCTGTTGCGACCTTCCCACTACAATTGAAACAATGAGTGAACTCAAGGCTCCATGCACATCTTCTTGTCAGGTTTTGGATTATTTCAGTCCGCTCAGCCTGGAGGAAGTCGACAAATTGCTCCTAACTGTACACCCCACCACATGCTTCCTTGACCCATGTCCTTCATGGCTAATTAAAGCTGGCCATGATGGGTTTCGAGGTCCCCTAAGGGAGATTGTTAATAAGTCCCTCTCAGAGGGACTGTTCCCTGGGGCATTCAAGGAAGCGATGGTTCATTCTCTTCTGAAAAAACCATCCTTGGACCCGGCCTGGACCCAGCCGAATTGGCAAATTACCAGCCAGTTTCCGACTTGCCCTATTTGGGCAAGGTAATACAGAGGACTGTGACAACACAGTTACAGAACTTTTTGGATGATGCTTCCATTTTAGATCCATTCCAGTCTGGCTTTTGCCCGGGACACGGGATGAAGACGGCACTAGTCGCCCTCACAGATGACCTCCAGAGGCATCTTAATCGAGGCAGATCAGCAGTGCTGTTGTTGATGAACCTGTCGGCAGCATTCAACACAGTTGACCATCAGCTACTGATCCACTGCCTCGCCGACACTGAGGTCCAGGTCTCTCCTTGCAATGGCTTGCCTCCTTCCTCCAAGGTCGGGGACAAAGGGTGGCATTAGGGGAGCAGCTATCCTGAAGGCACCCAATGGAGTGGAGTGCCCCAAGGGGCGGTGCTTTCCCCAATGCAATTTAACATCTATATGTGTCCCCTTGCCCAGATTGCCCGGAGGCATGGGCTGGGATGCCATCAGTACACTAATGACACCCAGCTGTATCTGTTATTGGGCGGTCGGTCCGGCTTCGGAAGATCTGGACCAGGCGTTACAAGCCATAGCTGGATGGCTTAGAGTGAGCCAACTGAAATTGAATCCGATGAAGACGGAGGTCCTATGCCTAGGCTGGGGTGGGCTGAGAGCAGGGATCCCACTCCCAGCCTTCGATGGGGCGCTGTTGATGCCAGCACTGGAGGTGAGGAGTCTGGGAATGCTCCTGGATGCTTCCTTAACAATGGAGGCCCAAGTAGTAGCCACTGCAAAGGCAGGCTTTTATCATTTCCGGCTGATTAGGCAGTTGGCTCCCTTCCTTGAATGCAATGATTTGGCAACAGTGATCCACATGTTGGTCACCTTGAGATTAGACTACTGTAATGCTCTCTACACGGGGCTGCCCTTGTTACAGATCTGGAAGCTACAGCTAGTGTAAAATGTGGCGGCCAGGCTTTTGATGGGTCTCCCTATGCGGGAGCACATCCAGCCTGTTCTGAAAGCATTGCACTGGGTACCAATAGCATACAGAATCTGTTTCAAGGTGCTGGTTCTTACCTTTAAAGCCCTTAATGGTCAGGGGCTGACATACCTGAGGGACCGCATTTCCCCACATGTCCCCCAGAGAGCACTGCGCTCAGGGTCCCAACATCGATTAACCCTCCTGGGACCTAAAGACGCCAGGCTGGCTATAACTAGGGCCAAGGCCTTTCCGGTGGCAGCTCCATACTGGTGGAATGAGCTCCCGGAAGAGATCAGGGCCCTGCGGGACCTTATGTAGTTCCGCAGGGCCTGCAAGATGGAGCTCTTCCACCAGGCCTTTAACTAGAGCCACCCCCCCCAATAATTAATTGTGAGCCCTGCCCTTCAGCATCGTCATCAACAGCCAGAACTGGCCACAGAAGAACAAATAGAACGAGGAGTGGATCAATAGGACAGGACATCAGCTGCTGCCAACGTCGCCAAATATCATTAGCATTACTTTGCCAAACTAATTGCACTAACACTGTACATAATCTGGATTGTTTTAGAAGGTTTTATGATGGTTTTAATGGTTATTTATATGTTTTAATTTTGTAAGCCGCCCTGAGCCTGCTCCGGCAGGGAGGGCGGGGTATAAATTTGATAAATAATAAATAAATAAATATTTCTGCATATTAAACCTCTATTAAAGGGACAGGACATTTTTCTCCAGGCCTGTTGACAAATCTATAGGGTTGCCAGCCTCCAGGTGGGGCCTGGCGATCTCCTGCTTTTACAACTGATCTCCAGCTGGCAGAGATCTGCTCCCCTGGAGAAAATGGCTGCTTTGAAGGGTGGACTTTATGGCATTGTACCATGCTGAGGCCTCTCCCCTCCCCAAACCCCACCCTCTCCTGGATCCACTCCCAAAGCCTCCAGGTATGTTCTAACCCAGACCTGGCAACCCGGCAACCCTACAACCCTAGGAGGCAGTACCAAACCATTTTGTGTATATGTGAGTACAATCTAATCAGTTCCTTTTAAACCAGTAATATAAACACAATCCTGGTACAGCTCAATTTTTCAAAGCTTTCCACTTTATCCTGTCAGAAGTAGTCTAATATGCTGAATAATGGCCACGAGGTCTATGACACTGGCTTTCACATGAAGTTAACATTTTCAGTTTTAAGAAACATTATGTTTCCATTAAAATACTATAGCTTTTATTAAAGCCCATTCGTTTCACAGCCTAATCTTATGACATCCTGTCACTGTCTTCAGATGCACACACACAAAAAAGGTTTGCCATTATGCAAGTCTTATGTATCATAAAAAGGAGGCCACACAAGAAACTACATAAAAGTAGGAATAGGTCTCCAGGTCCTGATGGCATACACCTGAGAGTTCTTAAGGAACTCAGATGTGAGATAGTTGATCTACTAACTCATATATGTAACCTATCACTAAATTCAGCTGCTGTACCAGAAGACGAGAGTAGCAAATGTGACACCAATTTTTAAAAAGCGATCCAGAGGGGAACCAGGACTGGACAGTTAGCTTAACATCTGTCCCAGGCAAATTAGTAGGAACTGTAATCAAAGACAGAGTTGTTCAGCACACAGAGGGACAAAGCTTGCTAAGGGAAAAGCAGCATAGTTTCTACAAAGTGAAGTCCTGCCTCACCAACCTTTTGGAGTTCTTTAAGAAAGTGAAAAAGCATGTAGACTAGGGGTGTGCACTTGGTATATACCGAGCTGAATAAATACCCAAAAAATACCCTATTGGTATTTTTCGGTATTTATTCAGCTGAATATAGATTAGACAATCTGAATCCACTACTGAAATAGCCACGCCTGAATACAAGCTGATATTACTTGGCTTTAATTTGGGGGCAGCTAGAAGGCATTTAAAGAGATTTTGGTCTCTTTAAATGCATTCAGGTCACTCGCTGAGTCGTGCTGCCGCCATGGCGCAACCCAGCAAGTGACCTGAAGGAATTTAAATTTTATATGCACTCAGTTGACTCACTGAGTCGTTCTGCTGTGGCAGCATGACTTGGCAAGCGAACTGAAGGCATTTGCATTCGGTTCGCCTGCCCAGTTGCACTGCGGTAGCAGCATAACTTGGTTAGTGAAATTCTCCATTATTCCCCATAGGCTATAATGAAACCAAATAAATTTGCATTTCCCGAATATTTACCCAAATACCAATCTATATATCTAACAGCCAAGTTGCTCCCTCCGTGCGGTATAGGGCTGCCATTTCACACATGGCTTTCCCCTTCCGGTAAAGAGCTGGATCTGAAGCAGTTTGCCATTTCAGACTGCACTGCTTTTCCCCCGTGGTTTTTCGCCCACGTGGACGATCTCTGGCCTTTTTTTTTTGAACATTCGCTTTAGAGCACTATAGCCCTATAGTGCTATAATACAACATATAAAAAACGGCGGGAAAAAGCACATCAGAACTGGGAGAGGAAACTGAAGACTACTTGGAAGCGGTTGACAGGTGAAATGCTTCAGCCCCATTTCCTAAATGGGACAGAAGCGTTTGTGTGTGAAATTACAAATATATTCCGGTAGGAAACCAGTTCTAAAATGGTTCTGTCTGAAATGACAGACCAGAAACGGTTTGGGAACCATTCCTCTTCCGGATTATATCATCTGTCTGAAATTCTTCAATGTCTGTTAAGGTGCTTTGGAACTTAGGGGGGAGGGGTGTTATGTATTGGGACTGAACCATTCCAGGTATGTCACACCAGAGACTGGCCAAGCTTGAAGCACAAGAACAATAGCCTACCAGGACTCTGGAAGTAACCAATCAAGTAGTAATGTTATGTAAATAGCCTATCAATGGGAGTGGGGTGTGTATGGGTGTGGCAATGGCATGCTATTTAACAGAGCTGCGGCTCTGGGGTCTTGTCTTGCTCTTGCTGAAATCACAAATAAAGTTGAGCTGATCACTAGACTCGAGCCTGCTCATCCATGGAACCCACTATCTAACAGGAAAGATCTGCAATCTTTTCATCCTCACATTGTATTGGACATAGAACAACTACCTGAACATATATTTAATTATCATAGGGTTGAGGTTAATTTGTAAAATATACTCACCTTGTTGTATGTCCTTCATCTCCAAATGCAAACTGGATATCAAAATTCCTACAGTTTGAGACCTTTTCCCATCCAACAGTTTGATAATCTGCAATTAAATAGTGTATTTGATTTTGTCCAAACAATTTTAATCATTAATTAGTGCTAACATTCACATTTCAAAATTAAATGCCACATGGTACCATTGTATAGACTCTCTTTTCCCTTTCTCTTTCAAGATAAAAATGTTAATATTTGTGTAACCCACTTTGGGAAAGAAACTTAATAAAAATGGTCACATTGCAATGGGAAAAAGAAGATTTTGCATAGAATATAGTAAGTATAACCTAGAATTATTTATTTTTATGACACAGTTATGCGACCACCAATTTCAATGGGGGAGATTTATATGGTCAATAGGACTTTAAACTACTTAACTTTGTCTATACTTTGGCCAATTTTCAATTTAATTTTCACAGTAAATGTACAGTCAATGGTCTTAGATTCCCCAAAACTTACATCTTCAAAATAAATATAATTTATGGATTTCTTTATTCTGTTATAAAATAGGGAAGTTTTTTTAAAGGTACCATGAAATAAATGGTTAGTTAAACAAAGTAATACATATTATTATGAACTTGGCAGCAGATTAACTTATAATAGGGATAATTACAGACTTAAGTAGGGTGCAATTTGTATAGCATTCACTGACCTCGAGGTTGACCCTTTTCAGGGTAAAATTCATAGGCTGTCATAAACCCTATTAGGCATGCCTAGTTTGCAGTAAAACCTTTCCAGACTATACCTCATACAGGCAATATGACATTTGAAACCATCATACTGTGATGCCTCTGAAAATTGTAGGTATGATCTGAAGATATGATCAGGTTAGCTCACACAACTTTCCTTCTCTGTACTTCATTTTAAACTGCAAATACTTTGAATATTACATAATTTTAAAATAGCAAAAGTTCACTTCAGAACAAAATGAACTTTATGATTGTAGCCTTTTATGCGAAGAAGTACATATGGTCACCATTATAAATGACTAGACTAGGCTCTTAGTATCTGAAAAGGCTGGACTAAAGCAAACAGTCTCTACATGACTGAAATTGAGTATATTTCTCATTAGATACCAGGTAATTGTCAAAAAAGAAAAAAGGGGGGAAGGGGGGGAGGAAAAGGAAGAAAAGAGAAAGGAAAAAGGAAAAAGGAAAGCCACCTGGGACATGCTGGTATATAGGTACCCTTACCAGGGATATAAGGCTTGTCATCAAAAATTCTCAGGGATCTCTCCTCAAAATACACCCTCAGCCTACATCCTTTGGGTCGTTGTACAAATAAGCACTCAACTTTTTGCCTCAGATTTAGAAACCATTGCTTAATGTGCTTTGAAACTCCTAGTACGATATGCTTAGAAAGAGGGAAATTGTTTTTCTAGCACATCTGATATTCTCAGATGATGGCTAATTTTAGAAAGAAGAAAAATATTTAATCAAACTTACATAATTTTCAGTTTGAGTTATTTTAAATGGAGTCTTAAGCGTTTGCTTAATTCTCTCCCATTGAAATCAATGGGTCAAAAAGGTTTCTGTTTGTTTTTTATAATGCTTTACTTCCAAGGATACAGAACAGACATCTGGGTGGCAATTCTAAGAACATTTGCCTGGGAGTAAGACCCACTGAATAAAATGGGACTTACTTCAGAGTAGTCTAGCTCCCTAAGCCACTAAATCAAGCCTTTATGACCCACCAGCCATGTACAGATTGATAAAGCACTTTTTTTTCTTGCTACCTTGGAGTTACCAAAAAAACAGAGGGGCTGTAAAGCACCTTGCAGATGGACTGCATTAGTGGATCCACTTGTACCAGAAAGATGTCTTTTACTCACTGATGACAGTAGCATGTAAGCAGTTAACTTGCTAGCTCTTGCTAGCTGAAGCTAATGATGTGCCAGCTGGCAGAGAATGTCTAAGCGGCAGACATGGCAGCCAACTGTCTGTCTCTTCTCTGCTTTCTAAATATATAACCAAAAAGGATGGAGCATCTCCTGACCTTGTGACAAGAATGTAAATGCTGTTTTCCCAGGCTTTCTTTTTCCTTGGTGCAAATATGGGAATTGTCACACCCAGTGCAAGCCTTAGACATTTAAGCATATGAATAAATCTCTAAAAATAACACTCCCTCCACCATCCCATGCTGTAAAACGGAGCTCATTTTTTATAACCTGAAGCATGGAGATGGAAGTTGGAAATAAGAAAGTGGTTCCTGCTCTAGAATTTTCTACCTAAAGTTTACCATACTTCACAATAAGCCCATTCTCAAACACAATCCCAGTGTGGCTTGTGGGCACTAGGTATATTGAATCAGCATGTCTAACGCTCAATGGGTGTGGTCAGACGGCGTGCTGAGAGCGGGTTAAACTGCTCCGGTTCTGACCAGATTATATTTGATCTGGATAATTGCGATCACACTTACCTCCCTTATCCCACTTTACCACGCAGTCGCAGCGCTCCCCGTTGTCTACACTACCGACATGCGGGAGCGTACGTCGGCATTTTTAAAACAAGTGACTGTTTAAATGTTGGTATCCTAAAAACGGTAGCGGAGCTCCGCATATGTGCACACTGCCAATGCATAAAAAAATGGCAGGCAAAAAACGGAAGCCTCGGGCAGCTTTCGAGTAGAAAGGGGGTTTAAACCGGAAGTGGCTTGACACCGGTGGAGTGATCACACAGGGGGAAAATGCGACTTTTAACGGGAGAGCTGAGAAAACACCACTTTGGGACCTGGTAACAAAATACTCTGGGTTAAAGGGGTTTTGAGGTAGAAACCAACGGCTGGGGACCGGGGGCAGATGTTGACTGTGTGATCGTGCAGATAAAATCTGTTGCTGAACTGTCACGACACCAGTATAGATGGACCCCTGTTTGGAAGTAAGGGATAATCCAGGCAACACTTGTTTTGTGATTAATATTTCATCTCATATTGAGGTGAGTAGTTTCTAACAACCAAGGGCCATGATCTCAACTCTACAACAGGTTGGGTAATAGAATGCAGAAAACCCCATGGGTGGTACCTGCGAGAAATTGTTCATACGATGGGTTTATAAAGAGCACATTTTGATACAGGACGAAGAAAAAGTGTATATGCAAAAATATATGCTTAATATATTGGCCCTAAGACAAGTTCCATTAAAATCAATGAATCTTCCTTTCAAACAAATGTGCTGAGCACTTGACAACCCACAAAATAAATAAATAAATAAATAAATTTGGGAGTGACTGGGAATGCTGTACTGTAAAGTTCAGTGACATTTCATAGTGATCCCTCCCTTGACTGAGGTTAAAGTCACTGGGTTTTGCTCATGTGTAAATAAGTTAAGGATCAGGAAATTATCACAACAATCTACCCCAAAATCATGAAACCAAATTTTCAAGGAACAGAAATGCTGCAATTTTTGGAATGTCACAATTACGAAATAAATAGAACACCTGATGACAGATATATCTTCTTTTAAAAATGCTCCTCATTCAGAATATTGACACTCATCGTAAATGAGAACATGTGCTAATAATTACATGAAGCCAGTTAGAGATAATGGACAACAGAAAAGTCATTATCTTTAATGTTATTCTCGGTCTTTGATATGATAATCATTGGACTAAAGAGCCAAAAATGATTGATGGAGTCTTATTTAGATCATGCAGATGACACAAATTACCTGACATTTAGCCCTGTTCCTTGTAGGACAGAAACATAATAGCATCAGCTTGAATGCATATGGTAGCTTAATAAACTGGCTTGTATCTGTGCTACATGTCTGAATATAGCTGTTCTTTACCATGAAGGTAGCAAAGTTTACACTCTGGCAAAACATTTGTATTTCTCTTATATTATGAACTGAGATCGAGGCAGCTCTTAAACAAGTGATTTCTTTATTCAGCTCATAACTTAACACAGGACAACATTCAACAAAACCTTCTAACTTTTATACTTTTTGAGCTGGCAAAGTCACACCTCCAGAACAGATAATGACCAATAAAAATGCATCACTTAGGACTAATGGAATTGGTTCCCGCCGAAAGTCAATGTCTCTTCGGATTGGCTTATTTGCAGCATTGACCAATTCGGTCTCACATTTCAGCATACTAGGGCTTCTATGGAGCTGTAAGCCCAGTTCCTAACTTTACATAATAACTGAATACGTAACATCTTAATAAACATGTAATGTATAAATGGCAGACAAGCATTCTTAACCCCCAAAAAACATGTGTCTGGGAGGTCTATTGGCTGAGGTTACCAGGTATGTATATATGGGTGTTTATTGTTCTAGATAACATACACCACCAATGTACCATGACACATATGGCAACTGGAGCATTTAAAGTGTGATTTTTCTGAATTCTCCATCTGGAGTATGGACTTCTCAGCAGACAAAGACTCAGGACTCAGATGGGAAAGGAACTGAGCACCCAACACTACCACAGAAGGAAGCAGCTGACACACCTCCAGGGACCTCCTCTGATGTGCTAGAGGAACCCCAGGAGCCTGAATAGTCTTTCTTACCCACAGATACAGCCCTTTTCTTCTGACTCGGACTTGGACACTGAACCCTCCATCTCAGCTGACACCTCAACCCACACAAAGCCCTGAATCACCACCCCATCACAGTGCTTGCAGTTGTAACCAGGAATGGCACATTTAGGAGCCAATAGCCTGCTCTTGGAAGGGCTGGGCTTGCATATTCACTTCCTTGCAGTAGTATTTAAGGCAGGGGTGTCAAACATAAGGACCGGGGGCCAGAACTGGCCCATCTAGGGTGCTTATGCAGCCCGCAAGCAACTGGTGCAAGGGAAGGAACAGGAGACTGCTGGCAGGGGTGTGTGTGGGTGGAGACAGTCTGTGACTGGGGCTTCAGCACAGGAGATCAACCTCGTCTTCAGCAGTAAAGCAGAATGGGAGCATCTTCCCAGTGCTGCACCGCTGGCTCTCCAGTGCACCCATGTGGGTTTTCCTCTACACCCCCCCCCCAGCCCACGAGGCCGTGCAGTGAGGATACACCAACTTGGAGCTTACGAGCTGCTGTCCTACACAGTTTATATCCCCGGTACCCAGCATTATGTTTTATGGCACATATGGCCTTGCCTGACAAAGTGACATTTATGTCAGTTTTGGCCCTTGTAACAAATGAGTTTGACATCTCTGATTTAAGGTCTCAGCTCACCATCAGCCTTTGCTTGAACAACATCCATAATATGGTACCACTGGATCCAGCTGCGATAACTTGAATCCCACCTTGAGCATCTCAGCCTTGAGTGGGGTAAGAAGCAAGCAGTAAATCATGGCATATTGTGCGGTATTAAAATTAGACTGAAATGATGCTGCTAGCTTCATGGTAGGACAATTAATTCTGGGGGGGAGGGGTTGTACACAGAAACATAGAGGTGGAAGGTACCTCAAGGGCCATCTAGTCCAACCCCCTGCACAACACAGGAAAGTCACATCTAGACCCCCCCCCTCCACTGACCCCTGCTCTATGCCCAGAAGAAGGCAAAAAACCTGGCCTGGAGAAAAATTCCTTCCTGACCCTAGTGTGGCGATCAGCATCACCCTGGGCCTGTAAGAAAGGGCCATGACAGCTGAGCACTGGCTCATCTCTTCCTGCCCTCCCTCTCATGATCTGCCTAAATTCACAAAATCTGCATTGCTATCAGTAAGCAACGCTGTCAGACAGCCATGTAGCCTCTGCTTAAAAATGTCCAAAGAAACATCCACCACCTCCCAAGGAAGCCTCCCAAGTGGGGGGCTCACAAAGAACTTGCAGGGAAAATTCCATCCACTCCCCCGCAGATCCCACCACTTCCTCCCTCCCCCATGCTCCCATTGTTTAAATATGTATTTGGTACCAGTTTTGCACATGTTCACTGTATTTCAAAATTCATAAAGTAAAAGGCAATTCTAGTTTGGGACATGCTGCTGGAAAATAGGAGGAAAGAATACATATGCAATTCCATTTTGTGACATGGACAGTTCCTCTTTTGTGCTATGGAAGGAACAGAAAAGAATTCAAAAGCACCCATGCTGCAAAGAAACCTGAACCTGCCAGGCTGGAGTAACCAACCTCTCAGAACACCAGATCTTATAGATGAAGAGATTATTATGCATTTTGAAGAATGAGCTTATTATACAAATATACAAGTGGGGACCTGCCAGAACCCCCCACCTTTGCTCCTTCCCCTCTCCCCCTATTTCTCTCACTCTCTTTCTCCTTGCTGCCCCCCCTTTTCTTTCTCTCTCTTTCAAAAACCGTTTCCCAGTTGACTCACGTTCATAGTTGGCCTTCCAACCACGTTTCTTTCATCATTTTTAACGCCCGATCTCCTGCGCTTGACCCGGTTAGCTTCACTTGTACCATTCGGTCTCTCGGCTGGAAGAACCACTGGAGCAAAGGGGCGCCTCGATTCTCTGGCATTTCGCCATCGAAGAGGCTAGCCCTCAGAGCTCCTTGGCCAGGGTCACTTCACCGGGCCCCTGGGGGGGGTTACGAGCCTGCTCGCCCCCTCCTTCCGCCAGAGCACAGAGACACCCTCGGGAGGTCCGGGAGGTGAGTCCGCAAGCGTGCCGCCATCAACCGGAAGTCATACTACACTGACTTTCATAGGGTGGCTGCTGTTGAACAGTAGCAAGCAACCAGGCCTAGTTGAATCATGCAAGTCAGGTCGTCGCAAGTCACCCAGAGGGTGCTGCTAGGCCTAGGTTTGCCAGCCTCCAGGTGGGACCTGGAGATCTCCCAGAAATTACAACTGAACTCCAGAGATCTGTCCCCCTGGAAAAAATGGGTGGACTCTGTGGCATTATATCCAGCTGAGGCCTCTCCCCCCTCCAAGCTTTGCACTCCTCAGACTTCACCACAGAATATCCAGGAATTTCCCAACCTGGAGCGGGTAAACCTAGTCCCAGGCCTGGCTCCAAACCCCCTGCTATTTAGGCATTCATACTGCAAGAGGAATCCTTCTCAATCAGAGCGCCCGTTCTGTTTGTTGCTTCCTCCTCCTCCTCCTCTCTCTCTAGCTATCAGCCACTCTATCTCTCACTATCAATGAAGCAGGGCCTGGAGTAGATCCCTGCAGTGGCCATTTCAAAAGGTATGGGGGGGGGGTAATTCAACCCTCCCCGAGTTTTTTTTAATGGATTTTTTGCAGACCCATGGAGCAGCCCCATAGTCAAGAATTTCTGGTTGGTAGGGCAAGGGCCAGGGTGCTGGGGCAAGGGAGATTAATTAGATTAAGTAACAATAGTTCCCCCCTGGCATTCCACTGAGTTCACATCATCACATACTTTGCTACAATTCAGGCTCTTTCTTTATATTAAAGAGGGGCAACAACGAGCATTGTTGGGGGGAGACAGGAGCAGAAATTGAGCTTAGACCTGACTGTTGAGAATTAAAGGGAGGAAATGAGTGTTTCTAGCCAGAATGCCAGCCAGCCAAGGAAGGAACAAGGCAGACAGCAAGTGCTGGGGCGAACATCGAAAGCAAGATGCCACAGGTCCTAAGGCCTGGCTCTGAAATGGATAGCTACAGTTTCTGTGGTTTGGATATACCTGCACCTCTCTCTGCTGAAGTGCACAAAGCAGGCAACGGGCAGCCTGAAGCACCTCAGCACTGCACGGCTGGAGCCAGAGCTCTTGGTACCCTTTTCACTGGAGTGGCTAAAAAGGAATGCAAAAAGCCAGCAGCATGGGACGGAAGAGCTAGCAAGGATGAGGATAAGGTCAGGACTAGCTTGGCAGGGCACAGTATGGGTGCGCATAGCCAAAAATTTTTCTAAAAATTAACATACTTTTAAAAAAAAGGCTTTACAGGCTTGGATCCTGTTGGTGGGGTCTGTCAGTAAGGGGGTGTGCCCCCAAAATGCTCCACCGTAGCTATGGGTCAGCCATGGAGTCCCTTGAGTCTGTCGAAAAACCTGTCGGGGGAGAGTGTGCCCTCTATCTGTGGAAATAAGTATCCATATGCAGAGGGGACTGTAGATATATTTTTTCTTAACCTCTGTGTTAACCACTGTGTTAAAAATGTGAAATACACTAAGATATTACAGAAATAAAACCAGGATATGTGGAAAATGTAATTAGCTAACAAAAAGATATTTTGGGAGGGGAACAGAGGGGATTTACAGCAAATTGTGTTATAAAGCAAGAGCAGTGGCACGCACACGCGCGCACACACAAAATGCACAGGAAAAAAACCCACCCCAAAATTCATAGCCCTTGAAAAGCTTTGTCGGAAGAACCAGTTAAATCTGAATTGGGGATCAGGAATTTATTTTCACCTGTGTAAGTGTGTGGTGCTAGTTGGGTATGTTCCTTTTTATAAAAGTTCTCCAGTCGAAGATACAGAAATAAATCCCCAAATGTCAATTCAGAGATAGATATAAAACACCTTTTGGTATTCAAGCACTTAGTCCTATTTTCAAAGGACCAAATTAGTCACCTGAAACATGTTTTAGTACAATTCATGTCAAGTCTCGTCCCCAGTTATCAAGCTCAATACTTGCAGACAGATTATCCCCCCCCCCCGTAAGAATAAAACTGCAATAAAGTATACCTTTTTGGCTTTCGTTTTCTTTTCATAAGAATCTGATAATGGTTTTTTCTTTTCCTGAGCTGTTTCTTTGGAGAATAAGTATTCAAATTCACCAGTATCACAAATGTTGGGTTCTTCTAATGATTCCCACAGAGTTGGTCCTATGTTTTGGCTAAAATGAGAAAAGAAAAATTAAAGTTGGCCCAAAACAACACCTTTTCTTTGCCATGTACTGAAATCAATACTCTGCTACACCTAGGCTGGATTACTGTTCAGATAGCTCTATCCCTAAAACTTAGTACTGCTCTATAGCTTTTGCACAATCTATGCATTTGTTTCCTATATATTCTGTGACATAGATTATGTATCTCCTCATCACAGATAAATGTTTGTAATTTCTGTCAAGTCTGGATCATGCTGACACAGCTATGACATTTTCATTTAACTTTTATCTCACTGGGTCAATTGTGCTGCATCTGACTATACTTCTCTGAATACATAAAAATTGCAAACTGGGGGGGGGAGTATAAGCAGAAAATGAACACAACATAGTCCATTACTGGCACTACTCCCCACCCCCCAGTGACTGGCAGTATTTTCCATGGTCTTTAAAAATATAGCAATAATAGAAGCACCGTGAACTACCAATGAATGCTGAGATGTGTGATTTGAAATGAACCTGTCCCCCCCCTCATAAATAAATGTCTACTATATCAAAAGAAGCCTATTGGGTTTGAATACAATCTATGGAGACGGTAAACTAAGGAACAAAGTTCTCTCTTGCCTTTACTGGCAAGTGACTGATCTTTTTCTTCCAGCAGGTGTCACTCACATAACATTTCATTCCTGCCTGTCATTTCACACCTAGTACCCAAATGTTTTGTAGATCTGAGAGGGTTAAACTATGATTATGCTGAAATCCTAATGAGAAAGAAAATAAACAATATTCATAAAATAGTATCAGGTTTGAACATGTTTTCTACAGTGTAAACAGATTCTAATGTACCTGAAAGTAAAACTAATTAAAATGTTAATGAGGAAAAAAATCTAAAAATGCTTTTATAATTGTTCCACATTTTATATTTGGAATGAAGCTTGAGTCTCACTGACACATTCATTGATGGGAGGCATATAAGTTGTTAAGGTACTTCCACAAAAGACAGAGTGTTCAGATTTGCTGCAAATGTGGTTCCAACAGTTGTAGGCTGACAATTGTTTTTACCTCTAAGAACACAGACCAGCTTTCGGCTGGTAAAAGATTCCAACCTTCCCCTTCCAAAAACAACACCCTGTGGAACATCCCCTTCCTAGCTGAAGTCAGGAATTGCATAGGGACTGGTGGTTGTAGTGAAGAGGGGAACCAGCCTCTTTAGCCAACAGAACCTCAGGTGGATGTAACTGATGGTCTGACTGCAGCCAGTTCTGAAACAAGAGCATCAGGTCCCAGCAGTATTCTGGGCTTTGGGGATTCCATGACCCATTCATATTCTTCCAGCAGTGTTGCATAGCAGGAAAAAAGACAATCTGCACTTGGAGCAGAAAGAATTCTGAAAATGGCACAAGTCAGCTCCTGCATATATCTATATATCTATAGATACATTAGATAGATAGATAGATAGATAGATAGATAGATAGATAGATAGATAGATAGATAGATAGATAGATAGATAGATAGATAGATAGATAGATGATAGATAGATAGATTAGATAGACAGATGAGATAAAATTCTCCTTTCTCTTGCTTTAAAAATCTTCAGATTAAGAAAGAAGCAATAAGTAATGAATGCATATCTCCTTTCAGAATGTAATCTGAATCTACCCAGACTAGATAAAATGAAATGGAAAATTCAATGGGTGACTCAACTGCTGGTAAAAAGTGACTTCAATGTTTTGTTTTATTTGTTTGTCTTGAATTTGGGGGGGAGTCACAGCTATCTGGAAGAAAGATGGGCATATAAATTATGAGAACTCATAGCTATAAGACCATGAATGAATCTAATTTTTTAAAAATCTAATTTAAAGGCCACCTCAGATAATAGGCAACACCACACATCGTGACATTTGTAAGATCATCCTGAATTCAATTGTTTAGAAGGCTATAATTATGCTTAGGATGGCAGCTAATGATGCCATCCTCCAGGGGGGACCTGGGGATCCCCTGGAATTGTAACTCATCTCCAGACCAGTGTCTATAAGACCATGAATGAATCTAATTTTTTTTAAATCTAATTTAAAAGCCACCTCAGATAATAGGCAACACCATACATTGTGACATTTGTAAGATCATCCTAAGCCCACTGAATTCAACTGTTTAGAAGGCTATAATTATGCTTAGGATGGCAGCTAATGATGCCATCCTCCAGGGGGGACCTGGGGATCCCCTGGAATTGCAACTCCAGACTACAGAGAGCAGTTCCCCTAGATAAAACAGATGATTTGGAGGGTGGAGTTCCAGGCTCCATTCCCAAATCTCCAGGAGTTTCCTAACCTGGATCTGGCAACCCTACTCCCACATCCCCCAACGGTAGCAAGGAGAGACGTGGCAACCCTAGATGGCACAGTTCATTTCATATGCCAATTATACACGACTGTGTCCTCATTGCTTTGTTGGCCGTTTCATTTCATTTTTCTTTGTGCCTCTATAAGTCTAAAGGAGTATGGAGGGAGGAGGAAAAAGTCGAGCATGGCATGGCATGGCACTGCAGCTCATTCTAAAAGTAACTCGGTTTAATGTTGAGGGCTCATACTTCGTCTCTGCCTTGGACCAAACTTGCCATTTTAGGCAAGTTACCTGCATCTACCTGGACCAATATTCTGTGTTTGCGAGGGCCCAGCCAAATGCTTCTGAGACTCTTACAAGCAGAGCATGAAGGCATCAGAGTTCTCCTATTGTCTGTCCCCAACTTCTGATATTAATTTCATGATATTTCATTTGGCTCTCATGGCTGACAGAGAAGGTCTTGATAGTCTGAAATAGGGTGGAGTTGGAAGTAGGAGTTTTGGAGTGCCAATGTCAAGGGGAGGGACAGCAGGATTGGCTTTGTATAGTAAGTGAAACTTTTAATAGCCTCTGTTTGTGGATTCATCTGTTATCACTGCACAGGGTTTAGAGCTGCAATATGACATATGCAGGAAATGGCTGTGGTTAGTGAAATCTCTACCTTCCTGGTTATGTACAAGTACTTCTAAACTGTATTTATTTGATTAAGCATGGCAGGGGTTAAGCCCCTCAGGTGCTGTGCTACTGGCTGCTGTAATGTCAGTGCCCTCCTGCCATGTCTCAGACCCTAAAGGGTGATCATGTTAGCTTCTGTCATGCCTTAGCAACCGACAAGATCAGGCTGTTTGTAACCTCTGCCTCAAGCCATACTAAGAATACTTCATGTCAAATCAGATTACTTCTTTTTTGTATAAACCAGAGGGAACAATTCTGTACAAGACAGATGATGGGCCCCTTGAAGAAAATATTCTATCACTCCACAGTGATAAACTATCCTAATTAAAACAATTTCCTGCATTTCAATTTCAAAAGGCTGGTTTGGATATATTCTACTTTTCCACAATTTACTTTTAGCTCTTTATATCAGCTCAAGATTGAAATCTTGCACATAAGTTTCTATAACATATCGAAATTACAACAAGCAACAACATTACCTGCAATCTTTGACTTGTATTCTAGTCCAGTACAGTGGCTTCATGGGACAGGTGGGTTCAACAGCATGTTTTCGAGGACCTTGGTTTGATAACATGCTACCAAGAGGTGGCGGTGGTGGAGGAGGAGGTGGTCCCCCTCCTAGTGGAGGTGGTCCTGGTGGTGGAGGTGGTAGAAGGTGATGAGTCACCAAAGATACAGGAAGTGGAGGTGGTGGTGGTGGATAGGAGGTTTCAAAGCCCGGTGCTGGAGGAATTGGACCATGTGGAGGAGGTGGTGGTGGCGGTGGTGGAGGAGGAGGAGGAGGAGGAGGTGGTGGTGGTGGTAATCTTCCTGAGGTATGGCCAGAACTGCATGTTTCCTTATGATCAACTGAGGCAGAAATGCTGTTATTCAAGCAAGATATATTAAGTTTCTTAGGTATCGTTTGGTTACTTTTGACTGTCCGGTTTTCATCTTCAGTTGGCTTTATAAAAGTTTCTCTGTCCGTTTGTATGCATACATTTCTGTATGCCTTTGGTGGGTAGTCATCTTCAGTGGATACGCAGACATCCTTTGCCTCCTCACTTCTCTTGTATAATATTTTATCCAGTTCATTTTTTAAATTTGCAATGTCTTCCTCGAGCTTTGCAGTTGACAAAGCATATTCTCCTCGAATATGAAAGGCTTTGAGTTCAAACTCGGTCTGTGAATGGTTAATGAAAAGTTACTATGCGAGAATTAAAATTACAATTGTTGTGAATCTTATCATCTCAGTGTTTAATTAGATCACAGGTTATCATGGGAAAACAGTTTAAAGTTACACACAAGAAGAGTGAAAATATCAATTCTTAGCTATGGTAGTTGTAGGACTGTATACTACATTTTCGTTGGGAACCATTTCATACTAGTTACCTATGTCACTTAACACTTCAGTGACTTTAACAAGCAGATTCCCAAAATAATTAATCATGGATGGAAAGTTGATTAAAAGAAATCATCTATGAGCTCTGCTTCATCCATAATCATGCTACACTTTTGGTGACAGTGGTGGCTTCTTCTGCACAACGGCATCATGAATTCTATGTGCAGAAGGAATGAAACATTGCCCCAAGTGTGTTCTGCCTTAGGAGTTCACGGGGTTCAGCAACCTCACAGCAGTAGGGACAACAACTCCCAGTTTTCTCCTCCATAGAGAAGTCAGGCACAGTGATAAAAGGGTTTGTTGTGGGGAGTGAACAGTATGCTGTCTGTTCCCCTGTAGCCTCTCTCCATCCTCACTCAGGCATTCTAGGTGTTGTCACTAGGTTTATTCATCCCATACATGTCATGAAGGACTACTGAAAATAAACAGGCTTCTCAATTGTATATAAGCTTCAGTAACCAGGTTCTCTCAGTATCTTTGGCTTCTGGTTTTAGATTTCTGAGTTGCATCAATTAACATCTCAGAACAGGAAGTGATTTCAAAATGCTCTAGGGATTTCAAAACCTTACTGTAAAAAACATTATGACAGCACTTCTTGTTCCCAAACAGGAAGTGACATCTTAGAGACTCTACCCCCTCAATGCTCCCAGAGATTGCCAGCGAAGGGCTGGCAACCCTACCAATGGATACATTATCAGAAGCTGCTTCTGCATGTATATGGATCCTAGCTAGGGTTGCCAGACCCCTGGTCAGGGCAGGGGTTCCCCCGATTTTGGGGGCTCCAACCCACCACTGGCCAGCTGGCCTCACTGGCGAAGCCCCACCCCTGAACAGCCCTCTCCCATGTCTACGTTGTCGGCATGATGGTGTCACCCAGAAGTGACTTCATCGTACTGGGCATGTCGCACATTGATGATCTAGCATTTTGGCCAAAAACTCTATGGAAGATCCAGGCATGGACCAGGGAGCCCCCTGCTGGAAGGCTGGTAAGACCTGACAACCCTAATCTTAGCCCAGAGATGTGAAGGCCCAGAAAAACCCACAAACATTAAGAAAAACTTTAGCCTGAAAATGTAAACACTTTTTTCTCCAATGAAAAAAATGGGAAGTTTTGGGGAGCACTGAAAAGTCTCCTATGGGATATTTTCTCTTTTGGAATAAGTGAAATACTTTTTGAGACATTCACTCAAAAGGTGTACCATGGAAATTGTTATGCAAGACAACTTGCTACAGCATTAGATAATAATTTCTATATATACTATACACATATGCAACATAATTTCAAGGAAGTGTTTACTGTTTTATTAATATACTAATGTGTATGATAAAAACACATTGTTAAAGACCGATTCCCCACAAGCAGCTGTGCTGCTCTTGCTCTTCCATTTGCCCTGGTTGCATTGGTCAATTTCATACTACTCGCTGCATGGCCGCATTTTGACCCACATCTCCCCCTGATTTCCCCTGCGTCTTCTCAATTCTTGTTTTTTGAGATCAAGAAGATGCAGGGGAAATCAGGGGGAGATGCAGCCAGTCAAAATGCAGCCACGCAGCGAACAGTGTGAAGCTGACTGATGCAACTGAAGCAAACGGAAGAACGATAGCGGCACAGCTGCTTGTGGGGAATCAAAGAGTTCAGTGTTGCCAGTGTCATAAAGTTTAACTTGTTATTCAAAAAGGTTGGTAGTCCCTAACTGTTGTTCAAATAATATGCTTTCTTTTGTTTAGTATAATTTTTTTTGTAACATCTCAGCTGGTAAAAATTATATTTATGCTAAGGGTGCGCCTATAGGGTGCAGCAGTTTCCAGCTCCTTCTCAAGTACTTTGCTACTCTTTCTCAAGTACATTTCTACTTCAGAATTCCATAAATAAGCAAAATAGTACAATTCTATAGGCAAAATTATAAATGATGCATTATATTTTGTTAAAGCAGTAAAAGAAGTTTAGAGTAAATAGGAAAGCAAAAACCCCCCCATTTTTTTCCCAGTTTCCCCCCAAAAGAACTACATCAAATGGTTTCCTCCCATGGCTTCAAGATTTCCAGAATGTTTTATTTCTTCTTTACCCTAGCTATATCAAAGCATATAAGCAATATCCATTTTCAAGAAAGAGATTGTGATATCTCCTTAACCATATTCCTTTGATTTATTAACATCACCAAATTTCCACCTATTAAAATGCCTGGGGCAAAAAGGGAGCTTTGGAGGGCCAATCTCCATCCCTCCCTCCCTTTATAATATTTACCCTGTTTTTCACATGTTTGCAGATGCTTCGTTCCTCACTCTGCATTGCCATTTTAAAAGAGCAAGATTCTTCTTATAATCCAAGAAAACAATGACATCATTTCATTATAGGATTGCCAGTCACAACCCACTGGGAGGAATGAGGGGGGGAGGGAAAGGCATACTGGCATTGCATTTAGGATTGCTAACTCCAGGTTGGGAAATTCCTGGAGATTTGGGGATAGAATCTGGGGAGGGTGGAGTTGGGGAGAGGAGGAACTTCAGCATGGTATAATGCCACAGAGTCCACCACCAAAGCAGCCATTTTCTCCAGGGGAATTAATTTCTGCTATCTGGATATCAGTTGTAACTCAGGAGGTTGGCAACCCTAATTGCATTGCTCCACATTGTCACTTTCAGCAGAAAACTAGAAAAGTTGTCATTATGTCAGGGTGACACTCTAGGGTTTGGGTGAACCCCCCCATTATTTCCCCACTAGCCTGTGAAGTGCCAGCAGGAAATGAGGTGGTCCTAAGGTCTCCCATCATAATGGAAGACCTGGCCCTCCTATGTCATCACACGATCAGATTTGGCTATATGACAATGTTATAAAGCCGAATCAGAAAATATTAACCTCACTGTGAAGAGGCTATGACACCATTCAGCTACATAATCTTACAACTAACAAGATTTGCCTACAAGATGATGCCACAAAGCCAAATTAGAATGAAGACAATGTTTTACACCCTCACTACATAGAGGCAAGCAATTTTTGTCCTGATTCATCCCCCCACCCCGGTTGCTGGTATTGGGATAAGGGCTGTATTTCATAAGTGACAACATTTTTCACATGTGCCTCCTGTATTTCTGTTCAGCCCATGGAACTACACTTAGGCTCTGATCACACGCAGAAGTTGCCGCGGGATACTCATAGATGCCAGGTGGAGTTTATGGGTGCGATCAAACAGGCACATCTGGCAAGCGTCACACACCCGTTGCCAACCCATCATGTCCAGCTGAAGATTCGGAGTTAAAAGGTACCGGAGAAAGTCCACTATCTAACGCTTGCAACAGGCCGCAGACGGACGTCCTCCGTCTGATCGCTCCAGCGCGCTCCCCTGTGTTGAAGCGCGTCCGAAACGCATGCCGATGAACTGGAAACCTGATTCCCCACTGTCACGTCTGATCGCGTTCAGGCGGGTCAAAGTGTGCCGGCGCAAAAAGCCATGCCTCCCCCCCCCCGCATTATCTGGCCCATGTGACTGGGGCCTTAGCCCACTTTCTCAAACAACCTTCAAACCTGGTAGTGGTATCCTATCCAGTGACTTCAGGGATAAACACTATCCTTCTCTAGGTATAAATTATCTGTGTCTGGGAGAAATGCTTCATATCTAGAAATGGTGGGCCTTTGTACACTCACCCATAAATCAGGGAAAGACTATTGGCCATTTTCCATTACATAGCAAAAAAAAGCAATTTACATATACAACAAATTGTTGGAATTTTCTTTAAAGACAGGATTATCTTAGAACAAAGAATACATTTGTTTTAAATTTCAGCAACTACAATAAGAAACTTAACAATCAAAGGACAGTTGGATGAAAAAAATACCTTATGCCAACTCCCTTCAAAATCAAAATTTCGTTCTTTAGACACCTCAGTCATCATAATCTGTTACATATGCTGCATTAATATTGTTTTCAAGGGCATGCATTTTGTATTTATTCCCAGTGCACTAAACTGGGAATAAGAAAATGCATGACATAACACATGTAAAAATTCCCAAGAAACTACAATATTTGTTTTCTTTAAGACGTGTCTATGGAAGCCAAATGTGTGTGTGAATGGAGACATAATTTCACATTAGCAATTGTGACAACAGAAAATCAACAGGAAGTATCAAATTACTGAAGTACTATTAGTAATAGAATCATGAACACACATTACATATGGAATTAATTGATTTAAACATTATACTTACAGAATAATATTTGCAAGCATCCCTGCCCAATATCACCTAAATCCAAAAATCAGGGTTCCTAGGGTATATAGGAATGAGCCACAAAATTATCTTTGCTGGCAGAGTTTCATATTACACTGGTTATGACAACTGGCTCCATATTAATTCAGAGCATCCATCAGCATTACAGAACTGGCAGTGCATTCTTGTTTCAAAAGTATCTGTGAACTTTGACTGAGTCATGTTCAGTTCCTGTTTGTGGTTAAAAATTCAGGAGTAAGCTTCTTGTGTTTGTTGACAGCAAAACCCTGTGCACTTGGTAGGTAGTGCAGCACCTGTATTTTGTACTTGAGAGTCCAGAGAAAGGACCAAAAACCCAGTGCAAAGCAGCCCTCTAAAAAAGTGACATCCAAAAACAGTGACTTCAGTGGTATCTTTGTATCTTATTACCATATGTGCCTTCCTCCATGTATATTAAAAATCCACATAATGCGACCAGCCAGGGCTATCATATAGGCTTGTGCAAATCCAAGATATCACCAGGTTTGCAGGAAGATGTGTTTTTTGAAAACAAACAATAGGGGGGTTAAATAATTTC